TGCCCAGGCAGGTCTTGAACCCGCGGGCTCAGGCAATCTACTCACCTTAGCCTCCCAAAGGCGCGGGATTACAGGCTGAGCCACCGAGCCCGGCTGCAAAGCTACATATTTGATCATTTACTAACATTTTTAAAAAACAAACTTATCTAAATAACATTTTACAGCATAATCATAAATATGTCAGTAAATAACTATACTCCTTATTTAGCATTACTGGATTTGAAATATCTTCATTGTCATCTACTTTGCAAGTATTTATTCATCAAGGGCTGTAATCAATTAAAGAAAGAAGACAAAGACAAGAACAAGCTATTTTCCACATCATGACCAGATTGCCCAGATGTCGTGCCTGGAATACATCGCACGTGACAATCCTAGTCATGTTTCCAATCATTTGCAACATACAGATTTTTCTTTGCAATTTCCAAAACTTTTGGGTGTACCGAGCCCTGCTGTCAGCAACAGCAGCCCAGAAAAGGAATGTACTCTACCTGATGTCATCTTCTGTTCCGGCTCGAGGCATTTAGGTTCTTCTTGAAATTCTTCTTCCTAAGTGCCAGCCCCATAAACCAGAAAAGCAGGGAGAAAGTAAAAGATAACATTAATGTAAAGCAATATATTTTGTACGCCTACTAATTTAATATGAGATCAGACAATTACACCAAGCCCTAAAGAACTAAGGTTTTGGACAAGCTAAAAATCAACAATGATGTCAAGTAGAATAATTGTGGAGGTGTCAGTTTACACAACTTGAAGGTGTCATTCACATGGTGTGTATGAATGTTTTGCCTGAAGAGGTACAACCCAGAAGCCCACTGTGACTAATACATTTGAAGGCACCATTACCTAGACATGATGGTGATGGGTTCCTCTACAAGATAATAATGCTGCAGTCCTGGTGTGGTGGTTCATGCCTGTAATCCCAGCACTTTGGGAGGCCAAGGGGAAGGATTGCTTGAGCCCAGGAAGTCAAGACCAGCCTAGGCAACACAGTGAGGCCTCGTCTCTACAAAAAAATTAAAAAATAAGCCAGGTGTGGTAGCATGCACCTATAGTCTCAGCTACTTGGGAGGCTATGGTGGAAGGATCACCTGAGCCCAGGAGTTTGAGATTGCGGTGAGCCGTGAATATGCCACTGCACTCTAGCCTGGGTAGCAGAGTGAGACCCTGACTCAAAGGAATAAATAAGTAAATAAATAAAAATAAAAACTTTTAAATAAAATAAACAGAAAGAAATGCTGCCAGTGTTATGGAACAAAGAGAATTATGCTTTATTTTCCATAACTCAGAGAGTTAATTTCAGGTACTTTTGAAAACTCTTTCACCATTCACAGTTATTTTTGCCTCTGGAAAGGTGGGCGTACACCCATTCTTCTCTGAGTCCTGGTATGATATTCTCTTGTGACAATTGTCACTGCTATAATATTATAAAAAGTAGAACCTGTTAGAAATGGGGGGGCTAAATTAAGAGGAAGGGCGAAATGGTACTTTCCTAATTTTGTCTGTAAGATGACTTTATTTATTTATTCATTTATTTATTTATTTTTTGAGTTGGAGTCTCACTCTGTCGCCCAGACTGGAGTGTAGTGGCCGCTCCCGGCCACCGCAGCCTCAACTTGCTGGACTCCGGCGATCTTTCCGCCTCAGCCTTTCGAGTAGCCGGAATTACAGGCATGCGCTACCACGCCTGGCTGATTTTTTGATTTATTGTAGAGATGAGGTCTCGCTGCCCGGGCGGGTCTCTAACCCGTGGGCTCAGGCCATCCACTCACCTCAGCCTCCCAAAGGCGCGGGATTACAGGTTGAAACACCAAGCCCGGCTAAGATGACTTTATATTGATTGATTAATTTATCTTTCCTTCGTTTGTTGAGTGCCTGCTACGAGCTCTTCCTGCGGGGACTGAATGTTTAAGCAGGATGTTCAAACATCCCCTGAGTTACATTGCCAGCAGATGCCTACTCAACTTCCTTCCTAGCCTGAAACACTTTCTGTGGTTATTTTGTTCTTTCTAAGAATTGAACCCAGTAGCAGATATTCTAGACCATAATAAAGAACATGGGTCTGGCTGGGCTCGGTGGCTCAGTCTGTCATCCCAGCACTTTGGGAGGCCGAGGCAAGTGGATTGCCTGAACCCTCAGGTTTGAGACCAGTCAGGGCAACTTGGCGAGACCTCATCTCTACAATAAGAAATAAATCAAATATTAGCTGGGCACGATAGCGCGTGCCTGTAGTTCTGGCTACTTGGAAGGCGGAGGCGGAGACAGAGAGATCGCCGGAGACCCGCAGGTCGATGCTGGGGTGTCCCTGAGTGTGCCACGGCACTCCAGCCTGGGCGACAGAGTGAGACTCCAACTAAAAGAAACGGAGGCTACTCTGTAACCAAAGTGGAACGATGAAACTCAAAAATCGATCTTATCCATTTTAGGGACACTCCCAAATTTCCTCTAAGTTTGCCAGTTCCTAGGTAACATCTCATTTGGATCAGAGTCTATTAAGCTCTGGAGATCACTTAATAAGATTTTTTAAAACCCTTTTCAAAGGACATCAGTAGATGAAAGGGATTCCTGCACCTCCATGTTTATTGAAGCACACTGTTAACAATAGCAAAGATATGGAATCAACCCAAGCGTCCATCAACAGATGAATGGATTTTTTAAAAATGGTGTCTATACACAATGGAATACTATTCCAGTCATAAAATAGGAGGCTTTGTGACTTGCAGTAACGTAGATGAGCCCCGGGGAAATTATGTTAAGTGAAATAAGCCAGGCACAGAAAGACAAATATCACATGTTATCACTCACATATGAGAACTAAAAAAGTTGATCTCAGAAGTAGAGAGTAGAATGATGGATACCAGAGGCTGGGAAGAGTACAGGGGCAGGGGAATGAAGAGAGGTTGATTAACAGATACTAAAATACAGTTAGAAGGAATAAGTTCTAGTGTTGGATAGCAAAGTAGCGTGACTATAACTAACAACAATGTGTTGTATATTTCAAAATAGCTAGAAGGGCCGGGCTTGGTGGCTCAGCCTGTAATCCCGCGCCTTGGGAGGCTGAGGTGAGTGGATTGCCTGAGCCCGCGGGTTTGAGACTCGCCTGGGCAACTTGGTGAGACCTCATCTCTACAATAAATCAAAAAAGTTAGCCGGGCATGGTAGCGCGTGCCTGTAGTTCCAGCTACTTGGGAAGGCTGAGGTGGAAGGATCGTCGGAGCCCAGCAGGTCGAGGCTGCGGTGGCCGG